ACAAATGGTTCCGTACAGGAAAAGAGCGTAAAATCATATTTGTTATATGGGTCCCCCAGTAATAGAGTTCCTGTTTTATCCTTTGTGTACGGATCTCTAAAAATCACTTGTAATGGGTCAATTATTAAACTTCTCAAAATTTTACCTTTCATAAATCAGTACATTTCACCTACATATAAATATGTTCTCCAAGTTCTCCAAGTTCTCCAAGTACACGTTAATAAACTATGAATTGTCAAAGAATATTAATTACGACTGAATATTTATAACAAAAGGCTCTGCATGCTATAATTGATTCGTCTTTGTGACGTTCTAGAGTTTGACACAAACGAAAGTCACGGTTGAAATGATAGCGGGCATATGATATAATAGGCTGTATCCGTGTTTGTTTATGTACGATTATAATGTCTTGTAGCGGGGTCGGCGCCACAGCGGCCTTGGAGAAAGTATCGGCTGGTTTCACCTCAGTTTTGCTCGGTTGATCTCCCAGAGATACTGACGTAACCGAGATATCTCCTTTTATATACACCGAGGTGGTCATTCCGATAACACGATATGAGGGTAATGACGTGATGTCCTTACTCGTTTATGAAAGTTTACTCTACGCTTATATGAATAAAAATTTATTTCTACATTAGCTCGTACATTTGACTTACTTGGGTCGGTTTCGTTATTGGTGTTTTAGAAAAAAATAACCTATTTTATATATTTAGATGTGTATGTTTAGTGGGAAGTATGGAGTAGCTCGGTGACGTAGTGAATAAGCGCCGCGGTCCATGAGCGTTTTTGTTAAGCTAATTTCGCAAGGATCGGTCAGGGGATAGGTGATCAAAAAATTATTATCTCGAGCTACTTTATGCTTCATAAGGCTCCATAAGTTTTGGTTCCGACTGCATTTGCAGTCGTGAATACTTTCCAATCCGCATTGGGTTAGCGTGGAGGACCAAGGCTCATCCTCCTTTACCATTCATAAGGAAGGCCTGAGTCCCTGCAGTAGGGATGTAAAAGGGCTGAAGATGATGTTTAGTAGATATTTATGTAGAGGCTTTAGTATTTGTAATAATAAGTGGCTACTAGAATGGGAGTATATATTTATTTATTAACAGAAATATTTACATCGATCATTACAGCTTATAACCAATGCGGTCTAGTAAGTCATAACAATTTTTTCTTATCTTAACTGAAGACCTTATTTTCGCCCGCGTGGACCCTAGAGAAATGTTTAGTGGGATAAAAACTATCCTATTATCTTATTCAACTAATACCCTATCTGTATACCAAATTTCATCAAAATCCGTTCAGTAGTTTCGGCGTGATTGACGGACAAACATCAAATCATCCAAACATCTAAACATTCAAACAAAGAAACTTTCACATATATAATATTAATAGGATATTGCTCTTAATAAATTTTATATGTACAAAAAAATATTGCAGTTTTTGTAAACTCACTCAGAGCACAATCAAATATGTCAATTTCATTAGCTATCATATTAATGACAGATATAGCACGCGTGAATGGTGCCTCCCTTAACAAGTTTGTTATTATTGTTAGAAAAATACAAAATCATAACAAATTATTCAATTATAGTTAATGATGTTACGATTTGTGTTGTAGTTCGATGATATTGGACCCACGTGGTAAGTTCACGACCCAATATATTTGAACCAACTCATAGGGGGCCAATAGTGGGAACATATATAGGCTGATGACGAAATAAATATATAAAAAACATTACATATATTAATTATATACTAAGAAGCTAAGGACCTTTTTTGTAGAAATATGACACAACGATGATACAACATCCAGACTTGAGACATGCAGAAAAATTATCTATACCCATTTCACCGGAAATTGAGCCCGAGAACTTCTATTAAAATGGCGTGTACAACACACGACGTAACGTAATATTATGGTAATAGTAAAATTTTATCGTTGGCTACATAAGATTAATCTCAAGTGAATGTCAAATGTTATATAATACTAAATTTAAAAACTTCTTTTTATGGCCTAGCACAATTACTTTTCAAACAACAAGATAAAACAAGAAACAGAAGAAATAATGTGTAATCTTGAAAAGAATTCATACTTTTTCTGTTTTTCAAGTTGCAAGAAATAATTCTTAAATAAATAATTGTCAGCGTAAGAGTCAATTTACGCTGAGACTGCACTTAGTATTAGTCAAAATTATATTATTAAACAGAGACTTAACAAAGGTTAACCTAGTAAGATGTTTTACGAGAGTAACATTTACTCCTGGAAGGTAATATAATATGCTTATACTCTGTATAACATAAATTTTGACATACAAAAATTGCAATTTTAGCTTAAATTTACTTTGACGCTAAACCTTGTTTATTAATAGCACTGTGTGTGTTTAACTTCAAGATATGTTTAAAGATACCAAAAGAACAAAATATATATATATTATTTTATTAAACTGTTCGTTTTTTCCTTAACGTTGAGCATAGATAATCGTTATATTGTTTTCGAAGTAAACTTATTTGATAAAAGCGCTATTATATTATCATAGCAAATCTTAAAAACAATGTAGGTTCTAAACTAGAGATACCCAACAATTTTGGGTAAGAGACTAGTTTTTTTTAAATAAACTGATACTGCAGAAAGTCAAATTACTTTAATAATCCTTTCTCTAGTTATAATCGTATCAGGATTTCCGAAGACATAAAGAAAACCCTTTAACTCTTTATATAATTGGTTAGGCTGCTATAGGAAACCAAGAGGCGATATCGACCAGTTTGGGTATCACTGTCCTAGAAAACATCCAGGCCGTCAGGGTTTCCAGCTAAATCTCCACTTTGCAGCATCTATATTAAAAATGAATAAAGGTACCTCGACGACTAAGGCTTATTATTACATCGAGTTTCCTACCTAATATTAAGTTTGGTCTGGGTAAATCACCACTCGCAAGAAGCGCGTTCGACAGAAAGGATTAAAGAAACGTAGCTAAGGTATTTATGCAAATGTTCAATCTCGGGATAAGAAAGGGGAGATTCGCCGGGAAAAAATAAATCTTGCCTCTAAATTAAACATTCCAACAGGTAAAGTGTTCATTTAATAAGAAAAATAAGGCAACTAAGATACCATCCACCATTGAGAATTTCAAGAATGCGTCGGCAACAAAATAATTTACCGTGAACGTAACGATTGAATTACGAGTCTGTTTTAGGGAAAGAGATAAAGAAATTTTCTAATAACCAATGCGCAATAATTACTACAAAATGTAGAATAAAGTATCGTAATAGTAAGTTATATTGGGAACAAGATATTACGAAATAAAGCCGAAACGTACAATGCAGAAATATCAAAAGATAATTGCTCTTATTATGCTGTCTGCGTGGATGCGTTTGAGACGTGACCGGACAATTCGTCGTTTTTGTCAATTTATCTGATTTTTAATCGATTTCACAGTCCTAAAAAAAGAGATTATTCGCAATTCGAATGAATTGTGTTTTTTGTATACATGTTCCACGATGACTTCGTCAATAGTGGAGGATAAATATATCATCCATTTATCCTTGATGATTCTTATTTTTTTATATGAAAGGGTTGGTCTTGAGGGTTGGTAGATTTGAAGAAATTTTGTTTTATATCAAAATATTTGGATGGTACATCTATATACCTGCATTAGAAATTTACTATTTTAAAAAACTAGTACAGATTACTACAAGACCGTATTTATTATTAACAATGAAGGCACTAAAAACAAAATACTTTTTTGAAGATTCAGCAAATCTTCTTTAAAATTAAACGAAAAGTTGCAATCAACAGTTCCAGGCGTCCTAGTTGGGATTTGAACCCATAATCTTTCTTCTCTCCTTCTTTTATCTCTGTTCAGGCAATTCATTTAAGACGCAGAAAGAAATATCGTTACAAATTTTTTTTAAACGTTTAATAAAAATGAAAATGCGTTCTATATTTGATCAATTTTGCAGTCGCAATGCTATATTGATATACATATATATTATAGTAAAGTACATATTAAAATAAGGTAAAATTACATAGGTATTAATAACTTATGACATTTTCACTTTCGATAAATATTTCGAATAACATATGTATTGTATGAGAGTCATATCGTCGTAGTCGTATGTAGGTCTAAATAAATAAAACTGGTTTCATAGAGTTTAGTTCCGGTATTGGCTAATATTGAAATAGCAGTTAACATTATGTTTATATTCTGAAATATATATCTAATAATTTGTGTAGAGACCCAATGTTGGTTTTAGAATTAATTAGGTCTTTTCTGTATTCAGGTATTTGGCACAATATTTAAGACTTAATTAAGATGAGCTTAATTAAATATAATTGAGTTATATAACGAGAAAGATTATGTTTATGCTACGTGGTTTTTGCCACTTTGACGTAATTTCATGTAAAAGGAAAAAAATACTAAAAGATTTTATTATCTGTATCGCAAAAATGTGTATGAAAAAATGAATACGTAGAAATATTATATTAAAAAACTTCGATTGGTGAGATGAGACAATTGCCGAAAAATTGGAAAAAGCTTTCCTGAAAACTTTCATAAATGTCAACTAAAGTTAGTGAAATTTATAGCAAATGATTCTGCTTTATAGATATAATTTTACGTACCTACCGTAATTAATATTACTGAGTTACAAATAAATACTCTTAATACTCATCAATAAATATTTCTTAAAGTTTGAAATGTTTTAAAAGGATTCTTTAGGGAAAATTTTGAAGGTCAAGGATTGTATGTAGTATTGTTTGTCCAGGCACTAGCGGTGGCGGGTGGCGGGTGACAGCGCTGGGGCGGCAGCGGCGCGCGGTGGTGAGATGAGCGTAGCATCGCATGCGCCGCCACCGCCGCTGTCCGCCGCCGAGGCGCTTTCCTCGCTGCTGTGGCAGCCGTACGAGTGCCGGTCGCCGCCCCTCGCGCGCTCCCGCACCGATGGCGCCTTGGCGGTGGCCGCCACCGGCGGGGGGGTCGTCACGGCCTCGTGCGCTCTCCAGTCGCCGAACGGCGGTCGTCATGCGCGCGCGTCGTTTCGCGCGATTACTCCCCGCCACGAGATGCGGCTGCCCGTACCGGCGCCCGCCCCGCTGCGCAAGTCGGACTCGGTCTCGGTGCGCGTTCCGGGCGAGCCGAGCCGACAGAACGTGTCCAGTGTGAACATAGTGCAGGTGCAGGATGCGCCTCCTAGTTGTAATGTGAACAGTGCCGTGCAGACAGATAGGGAGAGGAGTGTAGCGAGCGCCGAGTGTCAGACTGAGGAGCCGGCACGGCGGCGGCGTACGAGGCGTGCTCGGGCACCTCGCGTGCCGGAACTGCTCGAGAGTGTGCCGCCGCCGCCGTACAGCACGCTGCCGCACTCTGCTCTCCCGGGCCACCCGACGCATACAGTACTTCCGGGTCATCCGGCACACCCTGCTCATCCAGTTCACCCGGCGCTACCGCTGCCAGTGCATCCTCCTGCGCCCATCATTGCACCGCATCCGTCCGCACCGCGGTACCCCTTTCAGCCGATCCCACTCAGGTGTGCTACGATTTTACCCTCACACAATAGATCATAAATCTGTGCAAATTTATATGCACCAATTGACATTAGGAATAAGTAGAAACGTCTGCTCTATTCTTTAGTCGGTCATGCCGCCAGTTGCAGATTTGGAGAAAGGCGGCTCACACTATTGTGAGATGTTTATTGCTGTCATCAAGTTTGTATACATAAAACGACATGGACAAACTTTGTAAGAGTTTAACAAAAGCTTTTTGAAGTTACTATAATATTGTATGTGTACATGATTATTCACATGTGACTTTGTGAAAACAGCGTTCGTTGAAGTCTTTTGTGGACTCGTTCTACAAAATTTATTCATGTCTACTTATAATATAAAATTACGTGTATGAGGTAACACACATATTTGCTTGTGTTTTAATCTATATTACATAGTCTACACTGGTTCTTGTCGGAAGTAATGAATACATGTTACGTAACCACATCCACCTCATGCATTAGTGGACATGACGGTGCGATACACGTTAACAATAAAAAAAAAACCACTCAGCTTTACATCAATTTATTTTAGAATCACTTTAGATTTAATGTTTATACTAAATGTTAACTGAAAGTCAGAAAAGTGGAGCGCAATATTGTCGACCTTCGTTGAAAACAGGCTAAATATTTTATCGACATTATAAATAAACTTTTTAGAATTGAAAATTAAATTCTTATAGAATGAGGCTGGAATGACTGAAAACATTATGTCAGGGCCGCAATGTCAGAAATGGTATGTTCAAATGCTGCTGAACACTATCAGTTCTATTAATAAATAAGGTTTAGCGTCAGAGAAAATGTAAGCTAAAATTGCAATTTCAGTATTAGTCCGAATTCATATTATACAGTGAGTAAGCAAACCTACTACCTCCTAGGAGTAAATAATACACCCGTAGTATCTCGTACTAGGTCAACCTTAGCTAATTCGCGGTTTAATATTATGAATTTTGACTAATACTAAGTGCAGTCTCAGCGTAAGTTTACTTCAATACTAAATCTTATTTACTAATAAACTGTATGAGTTTTATGTATTTGTAAATGCTTTATTATATATATTATATAAAAAATTATTTTAAACATTCAATAAATTTCATTCACTACCTTTGTAAATTTAATCAGTGTTAATAATAAACAAGATTTAGCGTTGGAGTAAATTTACGCTGAGACTGCATTTTGTATAAGTCACAATTCATATTATTAAACAGAGATTTAGCAAAGGTTAACCTAGTACAAGGTTCTACGGGAGTAATATTTACCCCTAGAAGGTAGTAGGTTTGCTTATTCTCTGTATAATATGAATTAGGACTAATACCAAAATTGCAATTTTAACGTAAATTTACGCTGACGCTAAACCTTGATTATTAATAGCACTGTAAATTTTTATAAAGTATATCTTTATAACATATAAATATAGAGTTTACAAATGTTTGCTGAAAATATCCTACTGTATTACTATAAAAAAATAAAAAAATAGATTGTATCCGTGTTAAAATTAAATTATCATGATTGCACAATGTGTTTCTAACTCGCGATCCGCCAATGGTTATTGAAGACGACCTCCTTATATAAGGCGATTGTCTTACATTATATGACAAGGTCACTACTGGCTTTGATATATTTTCGTAACGATATGGGTACTACACATTTAAATATTAAAATAATATTTTTTAAGTCTCATACATACATAATAATTTTAAAAAAAAAATTATAATTTATATGCGATTATATTTCATACAGTTAATGTAAATGTTTATGAAATATTATATAGTACTCTCAAATTAGTTATATAAGAGGTAGTAGCTGTCTTATAACATTTAATACTATATCAGAAATATCGGATATTTCTTGCCTATAAAATTTAAAAGATAATTTAGAATTTCTTAACTATACGTTTGCTAAAGATATATAAATAATTTGTAAGTCAGTATTGAGTGAGTAATGTAGTTTTCCAACGAGTATTAATTAAAAAAATAATTTCATCGATGTTTATATAAAAACATTATCTTATGGAACATATATCTTTGATGTAGATAATTAAACAGGCCACCCGATTAGTGGACTAATCGTCTAGAACTCGTTCCTCTGTCGGGCACATGTTGGAAAGTGGTATTGTAGACATGCTGACTTAGATACTGCAGTGCAAAAACCGACCTGCTGTACTCCATGTGGATTTTATTAAGAACATTTGCCGTATACGTCCAACTTGTAGTACCTATACAAGAACAGTTAATAGAATTCTACGATGACTTAATCAGTATTTAGCACGAAAATCGAGTGCGAATCGAAAACGTAAGCTCCAGCTCTGAAACAAAACAAAAAGCTCTAGCTGCTAGAGCTTTTTATTTGCCTGGTTTTTAATATCAGTAATTTCGTAGAACTGCAAATTATGGTGATGCTATTAAAAAAATCAAATTGCTTAATATTCTAAGATCGAAATCAAGTTTACCTTTTAAAATAATTTTTGATACTTACGTCATAAACTTAATCTTGTTTTGTCCTATAAATAAGGCATTAAGAATACGTCGGTTAGAGTATGAGCGACTAAATTATCAACTACATATTATCGAATGTCGATTTCAAGAGTACAGTGTCTGTTTCGTCGTGTCCCACATTTTAAACGAGATCCGTGTAGGTCGATGCGCACGCTCGACGACGGGATGTGGGCCGGTGCACACATCGCACTCATGCAAACACTCTATTACTGTGTACTATGGTTTATTTTGACACACGATTTGCGTCACAGCACGATAAACGAGTCGTAAACAAAGAACAATTCGGTTTGAAAGTCATGGACAAGTTTCGGATTATATTTCTGGTATTTTTTTTCTCAAGCTATTAATGTTTATTGAAATAAAATTATCTGTGACATTGTCAAATCAAACAGAAAATAGTACTAAAGAATTTTAATAGGTGTACCGGTAGACATTTTTTTATCGTAATTACTAGATGACCCTGCGAATTTGTGTCGCCTTATCTATAGGTACTATTATTATAGAGGCAAATTTGATTGTTTGGTTGCTTTGAATAGACTCTGAATCTAATGGATCGGTTTGAAAAATTCTTTCATCTAGTGATATAATTTACGCAAGCATATACTTTATATTACTTTCTGATAATGTAGTTTTAAAATGGTGAAACCCTTAGTTTTTGTTACAAATAAACAAAAAAAAAGGCATCATATTTATGACGTTAATATAGAAAAATTAATATCTGAATACAAGAACTAATTTACATTTATTATTAACACAAGCAGTGGTATAACTGCGGAACCCTAGTTTCATACAGTGTGGCGCAACATGCAAGTAAATTTCGCGTTGGCTTGTAAACAGTGGTGTCCTCCAAATGAAGTTTGTCGGTCAATATCGCTCGAGTTTACGAAACTACTTGCGTGTGCGACGTGTTGTGGTTTGTCTAATCGTATTAATAGGTACACGCAAGCATTTGGACATAATATTTCTAATGCAACATCATCTGACATTAGTTGTAATCTCTATTAATGATAGTCCTAACATGAAATATTTGCTTTTTTATTATTAATTTGTGAATCAGGCCAAATTAGCATAGATCCCTCAATTATTTTTTATCAAAACAATGAAGTCAAATGCTTCAAATGCATCAGTAGAAGTTAAAAGTCTAAATCAGTGGTTCTCAAACTTTTTGCTAGCAACCCAAAATTTAAATTTGAAACCTGTGGCCTTTCATTTATCTGTCGTGTTAATAAAATAATATGATTTCTCAAAATCATTATAAAATTATAATCGAGAAGCTTAATTGCGCAATGGCTACTACATGGTTACTTGGTTTGCAAATGTGGATGTTAAGGAACTTTCGCAAGGGCTGCTTATGGGATGGGTGAGCGAAAATGTATTAACTGGATTTTCCCCGGCTGCATCTGCAGTCGTTCTCGTCCGCAACTGCAGGCCGCATTGTTGGTTATGGCCTGTTCTGGCTTATTTGATTTCATTCAAAAGCAAGGCTTTTGCGCCCGCAGTTCAGCAATTTATCATCTGTTGATGTTATGAAATACTAGAACATAGATAAAATATTACATATCATTTTCAAATTAGGGTGACAGCTACTATGGCGTTGAGAGCCGCCAATCTCAACACCACCCGTGACTCGAGGTTGAGAAACATCGGCCTAATAGATAAAAATAATGACTATATTTAAAACTGGGTACTGGTAGCTTATATAAATAAAGATGACAGTGATAATTCTATAGCTTTTTATCAGCATCAATATTTGCCAATAATAGCTCATAAATTCGTAATACCTCCTTAAGGAAAAGAGTCTCAATAAATTAAAGTAACGTATCTCCATTGTTAGCGGCGAACACACTCGTAAATATCGAGATTCTCAACAAAAAAGATCATCGTTATTAATCACCTAGAGCACAGCCGTTCCTTATGGACGTTCTATTCCAAGATTCCTCACTTCCTTGAATGTTGCTTACAAATATACTGGCACCATGAGTTTTGGCCGGTTGCCAACATCCTAATGGCTCGGGACTAGCGCCAAAGCCGTCAGAAAATCTTCTATATTGGAAACCAAACTTGTAACTGAAAGTGGATTGACTTAGCGTTCACTTTAAATGACTTTAACAATAAGTTTGGTGTTTTCCGAAAGTCTTTGAAACTGTACTTAAAGGTAGAAAGAAATTGTCTCAATAAATCCATCAACGAGATAAAACAGAAAAAGATGATAGCAGATTGTGAAAAATAGAGCTTCACCAATAAAAATATATATTTTTTATTACTTAGTAATTATTCTTAATGAAAAATGCTTAAGAATCCACTTTGTTCTTGGCACTCTGAGATGGGAGATTGGATCCCATCTCCCAGTATAGCATTGTGAATGTGATATTGATCAAATATAATACTCGGTAATTATTACAAGTCTTTAAAATTACATCTACATTATCATGCTTTTGAATACACTGGATTCACAGATTTATCACTATAAAAAGATAGTGAAATAAAAAG